AATAAAATACCCAAGGATCTGAACAGATTGAATACCCAAGACCTTAAATAGCGCCCCCTATAATTCTGCCCTAAACCAGAGTATGTGGAAAAAATAATGCAGCAGATCTGCTTGGATCTGCCCTTGTGATCAGCGATGTACTGACTGTATGCAGCTTTAGGCCTAGGCGGAGAAAAATAAATCCACTGCAAATCAAATTAAGTAGCAAATTTACATTATTATTTAACATTATCACGCATAATTATTAAATATTGGATTTTCGTTGTTCTCAGCATATTTTCCATGTAAAACGATGCCTCGCATAAATGTTGTTATGCCTCTCACTTTTGGGAATGGTAAAACGATGCCTCGCATGAATCGTTGTTTTGCCTCGCTGCCTTGCATGCCTCGCTGCCTCGCACTTTAATACTACTCGACTAGAATATTCATCGAGGATTAATGCGACATGTATGTACAAGTTTGTTTGAGTTTTTTGAATCATAAAAATATTAAGCAAACCATGTACATGTAACATTAGTGCACAGTTTGGGATAGGAAAATGATGGTAATTTACTATACTAATTACAGTGCATCATTAGCTAATTTACAACAAATTCCAGCATTATTAATGTGTGACCCAGTTCTACTTTGTAGAATATGCTTGCCAAATTATAGAGGGCAACAAAGATGAATGCTGCAATGTATAATTTGTTTTAACTGGTTCCTATCATATTCTTAGCACAACACATCTGGAAATTCGAAATGGTCAGAAAGTGTCCGACATTTATCGGTAGAGGAAATACAGCTTCCACCGGAACCAACAGGAAGGTGCTCAAAACATTTACAGGCAAGTAGTAGAAATATGTAACAGGGTTTCCACCTTCTCCTGCCCCTTTCATCAGAATAATAAGTGCGAATTTGATGATGTTGAGATGATTATGTTTTACCACCTTTAATTTATTTCATAAAAGGTCAACAAAATACAATCATCATCAATATACTATAAACAATCAAATCACCAGGACAGAGAAAAGAAAATTTTGGATTTGTCGAAGGAGAGTTGCTTGAAAACCCATTCTGATCAGCAAAAATGCAGACATCATCTGAAGTCAGTTACAAAAAACAAAAAAAACACTCATTCAGGACATGAAAAGTGAGGGGTCCCAGCATGGGAATGCAGCTATATGAGGAAGGTGTGAGTGGTACCCTCCCAAAAAAAAATATGCTTATAAATAGATGTTCAGTTTTTGCTGTGTTACAAAGTATTTTAGGAGTGGTTGGCGCACTGGTTGTGGCTTAGACTCCCAACCTTGAGGTCGGGGGTTCGAAATTCTAGCTGTGCAAATCGCTTGTGTCCTTGGGCAAGACACTTTATCTACGGTTGCCTCTCTCCACCCAGGAGTACAAGTGGGTACCTGGTAGGTTCCAACACAACCTGCGCTGATTACTAGCTGCAATTTATGGAATGATAATATAATTTCATTTACTAATTTAATTTGGTGTTTCAGTGTGTTCCATATGTGTTTGATCCAATGACCGGGGTAGTAATGTGAAGCGCTTAGAGGCCTTGTAAAGGCATGAAGCGCTATATAAGAACGACATATTATTATTATTATTATTATTGTAAATTTTTGTATTTGGAATCCATTTAGTAGTTTTTATGCCCTTGTTCACTTTTCCTATATCTGCCATTTTAACCTTCAATTTTCATTTTTTGTTTTACAATTTTATTTATTTATTTATTTAGACACACAACACATGTACCAAGGATTGTCAATAGTGAATATATCACTGTCTTACTTGAAGATGTGACAATCCTGTTCACAAAACAATACACACAAACACAATGATCATGCTTTATACAAACTAAATCTAAATATGAGGTTTAGGGAGTCGAGTTGTTTTGGTCGTGAGAAAAAATTCTGCAACACTGACAATAATTAAACCCAAGATCCTGGGATTGGAAGGCAAGCATCTTAACTACTAAACTATTCAAATCCACTCCAGTTGAGTAGTTGTTTGCCAATAATTTAGTTGAATAAAAACCTGAATCGTCAAAGGTTTCTGGCTGGTTGAAGCAATGCCAAAAATAGAGCATTTAAATTTACCAAGCATTAATATTTATTTCCCTAAAGTAGGATAAAATTAAACAGTACCTCAGAAGACACTTCGACCTCAACTCAATGATACAAAATAGGAAAGACTTTCGGAATCCCAGGTTAGTATTTAATTTTTTGTGTCTTGCTTTTTGTCATGTTCTTTGAAAAGTAAACCATAAGTTGTGAATGCAGTATTGAAATAAATTTGCAAGTACAATATATAATTAAACAAAAATAGATGAAAGTTAAAATAATGATAAAAAATAAATAAAATACCTAAAAAATTCATACAAAAATAAATAAAATGTATATAAAAGATTCATGCAAAAATCAATAAAATACTGTACATAAAAAAAGTAAATTACATTGACACTGTAACATTTTTTAGGCAGTGCTCACTGTTTTTCTGGTAACATCAACAAAAATGCTGGGGCGGATGCAGGGTTGAGGGTGCAGATGGTGCAATCGTACCCCCATAAATTGTACTAAGAAAAATAATTGTTGTATTTTATTGTTGACATGAATTACCAGTAAGATTTTTTAGTCATAAGAGTGCAATTTCCGGGCACCTAGAGGTCTGAATTCTCATAATTTTCTCGTCTCAGCCTCATCCATGGTGGGGCTGAGGTGGTGTTTACAGTACTCCACACACCCCCTACCACAAAATATGTATACTGTAGAGTACATGTAGATACCCCAGAAATGTATACTGTAAAGTATTCGATATAGATCAATCCGCGGTAGTTATATAGTGCCGAAATCCATCGCTAATATTTCAAATTTTATTTTTGAATGAGCATAAAAAATCCTTACCAGGAGCATTGATGTAGTGTGCTGGAGTGTTATGCAGGTATTTGGCATGTATTGTTTGAGCATGCAATTTCAAGATCAAAAATTCAATTTCAAATGTCTGTGACCCAAAAACTGGTTGCCATATATATTAGAGGGTTGCAAGACTCTTTTGGGCTTTAACAAATTTGAATTTTTTATTATGCTGTAATTTGTAGTAAAGAGGACACATTTTAAGTATCGTGTAAACATTTTACTTCAGTTTTCCGTTGTTTTTAATATCCGGGATGTTGGAGGCAGCTTGCCTGTACGTTTGTTTAGGTGGTCGGCCAAAAATTTAGGGAACCATGCTGTAAAGAGTACAACCTGTAGCAGTCGCGTATCTACGGGGTGCGCACCCTCCACAAAATTCTGTTCCCCCTCCCCCATCCCCCACCCAATTGAAAATGTTCAAAGTAAAACAGTCCTCTCAAGTAGTTAAGAATCATCTCAAATCACCTTATTTATCAGTGCCCCTCACCTAACTAACGAGTCCCACTTCACCTAGATGTGTATAATATACACATCTAGATGTGTATAAGAGACAGCAGCACTCCCATTCTTAAGACTCCTAGGTTTGCCTCTGATTTAAAGAAGCTAATTTGCTTGCGCTTCAGTATATATGAGAAGCTGATAAACTACATGGGCATTGATGAATTAGGGAGCAACTATCCAGACGACGTGTACAACCCGCATGGCTGGACTGAAGAGTCATTCTTTGAAAGCTTAGGTATGTTGACAGTTTTAGAATTTTATGTATGAATAAGTCAACTTGTAGTTTGAACTTGGCATGCCTGTATCCAGCGTCAATCGACATGAACCTATGTTGTGTGTATGTTTGTTTATATCGATTGACCTTGAAATGGGCTTGTGCAGTTCAAACTACGAATTAGCTTATGTACAGTTTAACTGTAGATTTTTTTGTGCTGTCATGGGATGGATGGGTTCATATGATGGCTCTTATCACCTGCATTCCATCTAAAGCCAGTGCAAATGATAAATCACTTTGCACTCCCTAGTCTGCCATGGCCTACAGCAAAAGTGATGGTAGTCAATTTCTTTTTGTTCCAGTTGTCCTGTAATTTTAGTTTTTATATTCCATTTTTTTATAGACATTTTTTATTGATGACTCCCTGTAAAGTCTCTATAGTGTTACCTGCTGACTACATAGGCCTACACAAGAAAAACATTACAATAGCCGTTCAGTCAGATAATACACATTTTTATTGTCCATATTCCAGCTAAAGCCCAGAAAGAAGATATGGCAAAACGGGAAAAGGAAAGGAAAACAAAAGTTGAATTTGTGACAGGCACAGTGAAGAAACCCACTGTCCCAGCAACAACAGGGCTAGCAGTCCCACTTTCCCAAGCTTTAAATGTTTCAAGTACAGGTTAGATGACAACGTTTTGTGATTTGTTTTTCATTCTCTAATATGGTAAACCTATTATAATTTGTTCTCCATTCTGTAACTACTTGAGCCCACAATCTAAATAGTTTGTGTACCTGCTTTATAGGAATTTGTGGCCCACTTTAGTAGTGATTTTTGCCTTTTTTTGTATGCCAGCCTGTTCCTTATTCTGTCCGTACTAAATTTTAAAATATTAAATGCAAATCAGTGTTATTTGCTACTCACTTATCTATTTTGAGACTGTTGTGCCCCCCTCCCCCGTTTGAAAAATTCTGGATCCGCCCCTGAATCTATAGAGTGATTTGTGCAACATTCTGTGTAGTGGTTTCTGCCCATTCAATATTGTAATTTGTGCCCTGTTCTGTAACATAATAAGCATTCCACTATTGATAATTTCTGTCTTATTCTTCATGTGACTTGTTATTTTTGGGAAAATTTCAAACCTGTACATAGTAATGGTGGTGGTGTACAGTATATAGTGATCATTTGGATTGCATCATGATTTGAATAAACTCAAGTAACTTTTTTCATTGTTCTCTTTCAAAAGATGACATGGCAAAGAAGAGGAAAAGTAAATGGGATGTAGGTGCCGCTAATATACCTATCATTGGAGCGCAGAGACCAACGTTAGCCTCCGCAGCACCCTCTAGTACAAACAAGACAGTTATATCATCAGTTGGAGCCTTAAAGAAACCTAAGATGGAAAATTAATCTCTGACGATGTTTGAATTATACGAATTTGGACCAATATTGAACCATGCCTGCTTACAGCAGAATTATACCTTTCTAGAGAAAGTTTCGTTATAGTACAGAGTGGAGGGTATAACATGTACTGTACAATGATGTTTAAGAAACATTGTCAGGTTGATAGTTGCTAGTAGTACTCGCTTTATCATTGAGATAACTTACAAAGGAGACAATTTATTTAATACTGAAGTTGATATTTGCCGTGTTGTTCAGATGTTTTTCAATGGAGGTGGCACTGGCAATACATTAATTCAGAAGTTTTCTCAGGCAGACTTATAGTGGCTTATACTTGGCCTTATTGTTCAGAGAAGACATCACCAGCATTGATAGTCACTAATATTTGCCATATTGTTCAGATGCCTTACAAAGGAGGAGGCACCAGATCAATAATTCAGAAGTTGCCTGTTTAAATCTTACAGTGTACTACAGGAGAAGCATTACAACAGTAATTTCCGGAAATCTCTGAAAATGTCCTACATAGGTAGGATTGAGATAAATTAATTTTTAACAAACAATTTAATGTACTGTTCGCTCTCCAATTTGGGGTGGTCTCTGACTTCCGTCTCCAGTTAGAGAGTTAGCTTTGTGTTAAAAGAACGAAGATTGCTATCTACTGTACTATTGTTAGATGTCTTGAATTAGAGACGTCGCAAGAGAGTTAGCTTTGTGTTACAGTGTAGCTTGACTTATATATACAGTTGAACTTTCCTAAATTGAATCCAAAATGCCGTTGAAATATTGTTCAACTTAGATTAAATTCGACTTAGATTAAATTCGACTTACAGATTGTTAAATAATGGAATACACAACAATTTGCCATGTAAAATTAGATCGACTTGGAAATTATTCGACAAGTTTAACTGTATAGCACTTTTTACAGACGTCTCAAAGTGCTTTATGCCTGGGCTAGTAGTGGTGATGCGTGTGTGAGTAGCAGTCTTAAATTCTTTTTTTTATGTGGGCAGAATGTTATTGAGTGTTATGCTATGAAGAAATAATGAAAAAAATTAAACCAACTATTATATCATTATTGGATGGTTTATGTGTATTGAAGAGTAATAATAGAAAATATTTTTATAGCTTAGGGGAGTAACTCATTACTTGCAGAATCATTGTGCTCAATTGCATATACACTGTAGATGTGGTTTGTGACTACCTGGCAGCGGTATAGAGGGGCATGGTAGTACAGTAGTAGCAGTAGTTCTGATCACTCTACAATAGAGGCTGAAATGAACCATTTCATGGGGTAACCACTATTCTTCCATAAAATGCAGTGGGTTCATTAAAGTGCACATAGTCAGATGTGTACATGAACCTCCATCCTAAAACTTGGTTCTAGCAACCGACCTTTGGTGTGAGGAGCATATTCTATCAAACGACCCTGGGGAAGGAGCATTGCAAACCAGCGTTGATGTTAAAGATGTAACGTGTCTCCACGAAATATTGCACAGGGCGTACTGCTAATGTAGATTATAGTAGGTTTGTTTTTTGTTACTGCAGTGCTCCCAATTCTCCCAGAACTCGCTGGAGTCTCCTGGAATTCGAGACAGCCTCCCGCCCTTCCACAAGCAAGCAAGAATCTGCCGGAAAATAACCCATCTCTGCAAATTCATAATTTTGCATGTTTTCACTGCTTTATTATCAATTTTTTCACAGAATCAGTGCCAATGGGTATTACTATGTTCAGCAAAATAGAATTAAATGTTAATGTTAAATTAAATGTGTTAAACCAGGTCAGCAGTGGATTTAAGTGAGGGGGAAGCCGGCCGATACCCCCCTAAATATTTCGAAATTATGAAAAAGTGGGGTAGAAATGAAAATTATATTCAAATTTGCAGATATCCCGGAAATGACTTCTTCCAACTTGGGACCCCTGGTTACTGTCTGACGTTACGGATGTTAATGTCAAAATAAGAAATGAAGTTTTATTTTATCATCATCACAAAGGCAGTGTATAAAGTTGACATTTGACACAACATACAAATTTCCATATACACTTTGTGATAAGTAGATCATTGGTATATGACCCTGGTTCTTAATATAAGCAGCCCCTCGTTCCAAATTTGACCCGCAAGGCAAATAATTTTTGCGTGTGAGAAAATAGAAAATATTAATAAAAAAAATATTTAAGGTTCGATTAATACATTTTCAATAAAGGAAAGACAAAAATGCAATGCCTGGCTAATGTGCACAGGGATGGTTTTATAATAAGCGAGATGATGTAGTCCATAAATAGTGCCAAAAATTGATCGCACTGTGCTTTTCGTGGTTCTATTCATCCCTGTGTGCTTCAAACAAGCAAAAAACGTGTTATGATAGGGTTTACCCCGCTCAGACATACAGTGCTGTCACTTTTGCCACAAAGTTCCGTCTCTGTGTTGTTCACTGTGATTCGTGAATACCATTCTTTAATGTACAGTAGGGGTGGGCATAAAAATCGGTCGGAAGGCCAAAGTGAATTTTATATTTAACACCGAGGACCACGTCCACATGTTGATGGTTCCAGTGTGCTTCCAAAAACCATCATGCACCAGTGGAGAATTTAGGGAGTGGGGGAGGCCGGCCCTTTCCCCATCCCCCACTTTTTTTGGAACGTTTTAAAAAAAAGAAGAAAGAAAAAAAATTGATCGCCCAACTCAGAGTTAATTTTCGCGTGTCATAAGACAAAATGTCCGTACTAACAGGGTGGTGCTATTGATCGCCCACCCCGACTAGGGTGAGGGGCTACATTTCCCTAGCTTTTACTTTCCCCGTAGCACCACCACTGCTCCACACAAATTTCCCCCACCCAAGTTTGGGCTATGCCCCAAACTAGTGTAGTACAATTAAAAGAAATGAAATTAAAAAAAAAAAAAAGAAGTATTCACAAAAAAAAAACATTCAAAAGACCTATATTAGCGGAAATCGTTTCACCAATATGTTTAACGATTGCTTTCAATCGGTGGGGATTTTCTTTGGCCCTTGAAATCAACTCTAAAAATAATTTTGCCTTTCAAACAAGTAAATTAAGAACCGGGATTATATGAAGACATTTATGCTATAATAGATACTGTACATTATGAAACTGTCGGTGAGGTCAAATACCAGTATGTGTAATAATAATGAAGCAGATACAGTTTACAGTTGCATACAAATACATCAAATAAAATTTTATAGAGGCCAGTGTTTTGCTAACTCATTTCTACACAAAACTATATAAAAAATTGAATGCTTTACTCGATACTCCAAACGTTCATAAAAGTTGTCTAACAGCAATGCTACAAATCTGAATAATAGGATTACCATTTATGTCGAACACAAATGTCAAATGCTGCTTTTGTGCCGAGTTAAAAGGAGTATACAAGAGTTTTGTTGTTAAATAAACCTACAGATACCATATGCAACCTGGAATCGTTATAAACATTCTCATCTAAAACTGCCGCTACTTCTGAGTCTTTCCATTTAATCGTTGGTTATTACCCCTCTTCGGTTTTTCCGTTTTTTATCTTGCTTTTTTTTTTTTTTTTTGGTGTTTTTTTTTTTTTGTTCTGTTGTTTTGTATTCGCTTGTTAATGTAAGGACCCCAACGGAAATAATGTTCATTTTATACCTTTCTTGGGTCATCCTTAGTATCTTGTCCTTTGTCTTCCCTGTTTTTGTTTGCTTTGTATTTTGGTATGTAATGGTACTGATTAAAATCAATCAATCAACATTCCTGATCATATTTTAAAAATTATTTATTGTAGTTTAATTTTACCATATCTTAGCTACGGCATTGTTGCATAAGGTAACTGTGCGCAGTACCAACTAAACAGTTTGCTTTTAATACAGAAGACAGTCCGTGTTTTCTGTAGCGCTGAACTTCGCGCTCACACTGCTCCTTCGTTTCCGAGGCGAGGGGGGGGGGGGAAACTAGACAGGGCTACACCCACACCACCCCCCCCCCCGTAGCGTGGCCACTGCAACCCACCGATCAACATCGGGGAGAACAAAAAAATGAAAAAAAAATAATATATGTATTTTGTACGTATTCTAAAATCGATTAAATAAGCCTTTGAAACCCCTAAATTATCATGTTTTCGGGGGGGGGGGGGGGG